GTGATACAACTGATAAATGATTGCTAGTTGATTCCTTCCCTGAGATAAGCATAAAAACAACATAGAAAACATGGTTCCTTTGGAGATGATCTATTGTAGAGTCATTTTTGATTTTCCACGTCTATGTTGATTTGCGATAGATTGTAGGGGGATGTAGGGGGTTGTACCTTTAGCTCTTCTTTTGGGGACTATTACAGTATGATGACCCATTGTCGGAATCCAATTAGTGTGAATGGATGACAGAGGGTTGTGAACACATTTCAGTTGTCTTCTCAATCTGTGTTGAGCACGTGAGCAATTCATGATTACTGGGTGAAAATGGGTGACCGTATATACTCGTATTTTGTTGGCCGACAATTTGAGGCAATGTAATTGGTACCCAGATACATATGTGTCTTCCCGGCTAGTATTTAAAACTGGCCCTGGAATGGGAACAGAAAGGGTGGGGTGGAGCTGGGTCAAAACAACATGTTCTATTAAATTTAGAGAGCGGGACCGCGTGCGGGAGGGATTTTTCGGAAGGACAACACCACAAACGTGAATATTCCAGACAATTAGAATTTTTGTTTTTTTGGTTAAGATCATTGTTAACTTATTGTCTAGCTATGTCTCCCACTGGATCCCAGAGTCGTTTCGATTCGCCCAGATGCATCCCGGAGCCATTAAACATGCACACGATGTGTGCTCCCGTTTAGCCATAATCAGCTCAGTTACATACCACGTTTCCCTATTATTATAGTAACCATGGTGGCTGGTATCATTATACCTATCATTATTTGAATGGCATTATAGCACGCAAACCTTCATCTTACTATTCCTATCATGCACAAATCCATCCTAGTAGCCATAGGAATGGTTATGGTTACGCATAGTATTTTCTCGGGATTATACTATAGTAACTTTGTTGTATTCCAATCCCGTTCAGCATCTTGGATTATTTTAACACATAGATCTATATGTCTATATGAATTCCATTGAATTCCTATCCAACAAACACACCATGGCACAGTGTTACTGAATATATATATATATATATTTTTTCTATGGTATTCCAATGCATTCCTATCATGAAATGTTAGTATTACATGGTATCCACTATCCGATGATCACCCATTTTAGCGGATAGTTTCTACAGTGGGTTTTTCCCATTAAATGTTCCCCATGATTTGAAGAGGTGAAAATTCGTGTAAACCAACATTAGATATTTTAGTATAATAATATACTATTAATATACTATATATATATATATATATCATATGTGGTAAACCAACTAGTATATTATTATGTCTCAAATACGGTTATCGTTATTGTTCTCTTGAGTCCCAGATCTTTGAGTTCGTTTCAGTTCCTTTTTATCTTTTTTTTTCTGGGCAACGTCCCATGCCAGCGTAGCTTTCCAGTCGCCCTTCGAACGCCTGATATCATTAGGCCTATCATTATGTCATAGATACCAGTAGTGATAAGAATTGTAGGTCAACTAAAGTAATATGCAATGACGCATTAGAGATAGTACTGTAAACATTGGATAGCAAACATGATCATAAACATTGGATATTGTGTAAGCAGTAATGAAAACCATGGTATATAACATCGTTATGAAATCTGGTTGGTGGTTTGGAACATTTGTTATTTTCTATAATATATGGGATAATCATCCCAACCGACTAATATGTTTCAAGATGGTTAAAACCACCAACCAGTAATGTATGAATCACAACAACCCCCCCAAGCAATGGTGCCTAATATCAAGCGCCCGTCAGGCACCTCGTGTGCCCGAGTCCATTTTGTCTCCGGGAGGTTTGATTCCCCTGGAAGACCAGGAGGGGAAGCGACTCAGTTCGTTGTGATTTCCTACGAAAATAAAAGTCGAACATATAGTTCTCAATGAATGTCAATGACTCAAGGAACATTTAGCGCTCAATCAACTTTTAAATGTAGTTATTTGTCAATATTGAATGAACTTCTTGAATACAAGGCTGCCAATCGACTTTTCATTGGTATTCTTTTAATCGTCGATATGTTTGCTCTTTTTTGCTGTTTGTTGTTGTTGTTGTTGTTGCTGTTGTTTTTGTCTTTGTCGTTGTCGTCGTTGTCGTCGCCGTCGCCGTCGCCGTCGTCGTCGGAGTGGTCATGGTCGCGGTCGTGGTCATGGTCGCGGTCATGGTCGTGGTCGTGGTGGTGGTTGTGGTTGTGGTTGTTGTGGTTGTTGTGGTTGTTGTGGTTGTTGTGGTTGTTGTGGTTGTTGTGGTTGTTGTGGTTGTTGTGGTTGTTGTTGTTGCTGTTGTTGTTGTTGCTGTTGTTGTTGTTTAAATGTTTAAATTTAGCTTTTTTTAAAGCCTCGTAAACAATGTTTTTAAAGCTCCAAGAGACGCGGTGAACGTAGGGGGTACGCGTGGCTAACGGACGTGGTGACGAACGTAAGGCGAACGAGTGAACGGACGAGTGCACGTGTGAGCGAACGAGTGAACGGACGTGTGCGTACAAGTGGACGGACGTGTGCGCGTACGTGCGTGCGTTTGCACGTTCACTGGCCGCGTGCGCGCGCACGTACGAAAATAAGGTCGACTGGAGTCGACCTTATTTCTGTACGTGCAAAGCGCTACAATACTAAATCAATACTAAAGAGGCAGGGTCGTGCAAAAATAAGGTCGACTCAAGTCGACCTTATTTTCGTACGTGCGCGCGCGCGTGGCGAGTGACCGTGCAAACGCACGGACGTACGCTCACACGTTCGCTCGCACGTACGCTCACTCGTACATACATACGTTCGCACGTACGTTCACTCGCACGCATGTCGTTCACACACACGTTCATACCCCCGTTCATGTCACTCGTCACTACACGTACGCTAGATAACAAAAATATTTTTACGAGACTTTAAAAAAGCTCAGTTTAAATGTTTAGATGTTTTTTAATCGAGTACTGGCTGGGATTTCAGAAGGATTTGTCGATTGTCGGAAAATGTTGGGAACGGCCCAAAAGAACGTTTTCCCAGGTATTTGATGTATATCCCATGTTTGGACAATCTCACAAATGATTTTTCAGCAACCAAAAATGCAGAGACGGATTTCACTTCAAACTCTTGACACTTGAGCAGAGCAAGACGCAGGGCAGAGTCCGTGCCATAAAACAACGGGTTCGTACTACCTAGCAAGCGCAACATAGGCAGCACATATTAAGGCACTACAGACACTTAGCCAAGATCATAGAGGGCATAGCTCCAGGAGCAGTTGGAAAGACGCGAAAGAGTCTCGGCTGGGTGGATCCCCAGTCATGGTCGAATTTGACTCGGAGTACCCCCATTTTAGGAAACATCCAAATAAGGTCTGGAAGAGTATTTTCCCAGTATATGGCCATGCTTGGGTTATCTTGGGTTCCATTTTCAGTCTAGGTGCTTAGGACTAATGGTACACCGAAGAAGATGCCGCCAATCAATGTTTATTCAGGTTGGTTAGTGTTTTATCTTGTGGTCAATTCTTGCAGTTGGACATGATCTAGTTTCTTTTCTGCAGACCACCCGGCAATCCAAGCTGACAGTGGCACATCTCCATGGCAGGAAGATCGGGCATGGCATGTTATGTCCTTCACCCATGGGAATGGAACAAAACATGGCAAAACAAGGCAAAACATGGGGGCATACACTTGGAAACCGGGGTGCTGTATATGATACCCCCCTAAAGGATCCGGCCGACCCGACCCGAATCAACAATCTTTTGGAGGGTCTATGTCAATTACTGTTCGTTGGATGGTCGAAAAAACAATTGAAGGAAAAGCTATCTTTGGTTTTTCCTTCCCAGACGCGGCACCTGAGATTACCATGATTACCTGAGGATATGCGGGAAAGTCTGCTGCCAGCATGAAACGTGAAATGAACAACTGGGCGCGCGCGTCGTAGAAGAAAACTTCATAGATTCGTCAGATTGGTTCGTCCGATGGAGAGTGATGCAGTTCAAAGATGTTCAACCAATAATTTTGAAGAATGAAGAATGAAGCAGGTTGTTTTGAGGCATGCATTATGCATATGTAAATCACGAATCTCATGAAGTTCTGTCTTTGTTTGATTACATAAAGGTTTTACCAGATAGTCGGCAGGTTTTGAATGATCATGTTATTTCAGTGTGATTCGAAGGGGAAATATATACTCAGAATCCTATATATATATATATATGGGTCCGCATACAACCAGATCTACTTACCACCTGGAGAGCTTTGCACAAGGTTGGGCTAGTTCCTCTTCAGCAAAATCAAACGAGTTATGTTGGAACCAAGACTGGTGGTGCATCAGTTGCCTCTGGGACAGCAAGGCAGCATGTACATATTCCTGACACAGTGTCAGTTCAGTTTATGGCAAATCGTGTGTTTGTGTGTGACAAATTTGGCGATCCACCGTACAAACGTCCATCCATTGTGAGTTTCCTTGGTAAAACACTAACCGGGAAGGGTCTCCAAATTTGAAACATACTCACGTTGATTGACCTTGACTTGGTATGGCAGAGGGCGAAAAGGTTCTTGCAGCAGCGAGGCAGGATAAGTCACTCCATGGAGAAGAAAATACACACACACACGACTGTACCTCCTTGTACCCTGTGGTTATTTAACATAGCTATGGAAAATCCCTTATAAATGGAGGTTTTACTGGGAAAATCATCTATAAATGGGCCATTTTCCATGGCTATGTTAACTTCCCCAACGGTACCATGTTTTAGCTGGTAGACCCGTGAATGTATCCGCCAACAAACATGGTTGTACAGGACAATGTCCATTGTCTCGATGGAAAAAAAAAGTATTGTTCAACTCCACAAACGGGGTCTACCCCATGGCTGTTTTAATAGAGAACATGAGGAAACGGATGAAACATTGGGATTTTGTGGTATGTGTGGGTACATGTATCAGACAAACCCATAGGTTTTCTGGTATCAATTTCTCCGTGGACAGACCTGGCTTGGGGCCATGGTCTGCTCCTACTTGCAGGATCATCCCAGTCGTGGTTCGTCGCATAGGCAGCCACCAGAGCTCAGAGATCCTTGCAGCATACTGGCAAGGCGAGGTTTTGAGAAAGCGAGCTTTGCGCTTAGGTGGCGACCATACAGGTTGCATAAGTGTATATTCAACACAAGCTTTCATTGGATATTGTATGAATTTGGATGATAGATATATTATTGTATTGTCAGTATTTGATGCATGCTGAAAAGTTAACATGTGTGCATGCTCTACATGACATGGTCCCTGGTCCCATCCCCCTTCAAACATATCACATGTCCATTCTATTTGAAGCATTTCAGAGCCACAACCTCCCGCTCGCGCGCGCTACCTGGAGCATTTGAAGCCACATGTTACCCGCATACATGTTACCTGCATACTACCTACGTGCTACGTGTAAAACACCTTTGATATAAGTCTTTTCTACCATTTTCTATGTACATACGACCCATAGCAAACATATATATATATATATACACACACCACTTGTATATTCTTACAAGTCATAGTTATAGAATGCAACATGCATGCCTATATATACATATATATGTATAACCTATATATATATATTTTGCTTTACATAAAATCTACATACATTTACATCGCCTATGTGTAACTCCCATACCTGTTGACTACCAAGTCACATAACTACCACCATACCCCCACCACAGGGCAAGACCATCGGGTTGTAGGCGGAGGGGGTCTGACAGGGGCTGGGTCATATATACACGCAGTACATAATGTGCGACCAGTCTGATTGCGCCAACCCAACATGGCACTTTGCCAAAATTCAGAGCCTCAGTAGGAGCAATCAACTAGAAATTTCCGGGACCAAATCTATGCACATACCCATGTATACCCATGTCCGTGTAAGGGCCAATTTCGGTAGGGACATCGTCAAGCAAAACATCAGACCTGATTCTTCAAGTTCGAACATACGCAGTTGGACGTGTTTGGCTTTGATTCTGACTTTGCCTGTTTTGCTGTATGCATTGCTGGTCAGCATTTCGATCAGATGGTGTGTAGGTCAACATGTGTATTAGTAGTACATCTATATTACATACATACATACGTTACATTACATTACATTACGTTGCATTGCATTGCATTACATTACATTACATTACATACATTACATTACATTACATTACATTACACTACATTACATTACATTACATCACATTATTTACATTACATTACATTATATTACATTACATTACATTACATACATAATCAATCATAATCATAATCATAATCATAATCATAATCATACATATACATACATATACATATATATATACATACATACATACATACATACACACATACACACATACATACATACATACATACATACATACATACATACATACATACATGCATTACATACTGGTGCTGTTCAAATGAACCACAAACTGCTTCGGCTATCCCTATCAGTAAAGATAAGTTATTTTAATTTTTGATATGTTATACCTAGTACAACCTGATGCCCCCTTAGTCGTAAGTTGGTTATAATCAGCATAAGCCCAAGCGTCAACCTAGGCAAACCAAAAGACTTGGCAAACAAAAACAGCACCATCTTGTGGGTATTGGGTACTGTATCCCTACTATGGGTTCAATCAGTTTGCAACCCCCCACGACTAACCCAGTTAGTAGATACCCTCTGGTAAACTAACATAACTAATATGGAAAATCACAGATTTTGGATGGGAAAACTCACTATAAATGGCAATTTTCAATAGTTTTTCTTGTATGTTTACCAAACCAGAGGGTAGCTTTCACGTTGCCGTTGTGTCGCCTGAGTCGGGACTCCGACCCACTGCCCCGCTCCACAGCGCGGTCGCATATCCAGAGGTGCCGCCCGATGGGTGGTAACAAGGACAGTCCATGGTGCATCTTGGTGCTTCATATGGTGACTATTGATGATGCATAGTCATTATAGATTATTGTTGATTACCATGTGTGTTCTTGGAAATAAAAAAAATGTTGTTGAGTACCATAATATGTGTACTTGGAATAAATGATGGTTATAATATAAGATAATGGCTATTAATGGCTTCTATATACATGGATGGTTATGGATCATAACCATATGTTATAATCACCATATGACTATGATAGTTGACATCACTTTGAAATGCTGGTGATTATTGATGATTTATATTATCAATGACTGTATACTTATTGTTGGATGGCGGGGGTGCCGGTTACCATGTCCAAAAACTATACAATTTAATGAACATACAACAATAGATTGCTTTTTTGGGTGAGTATGTTGACCCAGATTTGGATGATTTGGGACCAATGTTACCTCGTACCAATTTATTTTCTAAACAGGCACAACTTGATGGAGACACTCAGCATACCCACGGAGGGGTTCAGCCTTCAGTATTTTTGGTCATACCTCCATTGTTGGGAATTAGTTACACGGAGTTCTCAGAAAATGGGGCACTCCAAATTCCTATGGATTGTCGTCATTTTGCCATTTAATAAAACATCACCATAGTTTGGTGAATACCCTATTTTCATAAGCCCCCAATGTGTTGCATCTCCCGGATTCTCTGGTGGTTTGATTTTGAAGTGCGGCAGGACGCATGCACTGTTGCTTCAAGTGGTGTCAGTGCCACAATTAAAGTGATTGGTAGTTGAGTGGTGCCAATTCAACTTTGGCACGTTCTTTCCAACTCGAAAAAACAGATGATAACCATTATCAATATTAAGGATGTCTGTTATATACACATACGAAATACATATATATATATGTATGTATGTATACATACAGGATTATAATGGAATATAATGGACTATAATGGATTATAATGGATTATACATACATTACATTACATTTACATTACATTTACATTACATTTACATTACATTTACATTACATTTACATTACATTTACATTACATTTACATTACATTTACATTTACATTTACATTACATTTACATTACATTTACATTACATTTACATTACATTTACATTACATTTACATTACATTTACATTACATTTTCATTACATTTACATTACATTTACATTACATTTACATTACATTTACATTACATTTACATTACATTTACATTACATTTACATTACATTTACATTACATTTACATTACATTTACATTACATTACATTAACATTACATTACATTAACATTACATTACATTAAATTACATTGCATTACATACCTACAGACAGAAAGACATACATACATACATACATACATTCTTACATACATACATACATACATAGGATTATACATACATATATAGGATTATACATACATATATAGGATTATACATACATATATCATATATCATTTAAGTGTATATATATATTGTATATAATATATGTTGTTATGATGGGTCAAATCCCCGGCACCCTTCTGTGGACACCAAATAGCGATTGGATCGTTCCAGGCCGTGGTCGCCTTGCTGCGACACGGAGCACAGCTCACGGCCACGGAGGTACCGTATTCAATACGTTAATGATGTATGGTTAAGACAGCTTAAGATCTGTTAAGATGTTGAGATTCCAATCCGCAAAATTCAGATCTATGGTGATTGTTATCGTGATTTTTCTGAGGGTTTTGGTTATGGTATGCTTGATTGATGATCAATTGACAGTCAAGGAAGATGGAGATGGTAATTATGACTAGCAATTAATCATCGTATTTGGATGATTCATGATTATTCCTAGTAGTCTTCCATATTTTTCCTCGTATTTTTGGGTGGCCCTTGGGGGTTCTTTTCTGGGAAGCCAAAAGGCGTGAGCCTTGAGGCTGCTTTCCTGGTGACCATCTAGGACCTCAAGGACCTCACATCCCCAAAATCACATTTTTTTTGGGTGGTTTTTGGACCATCAAAAATGGGGTGGTAAAAATGGCATTGTGGAAAAAACGCATTACTCGATGTGAAATATGCAGCTGTTTATCGTCGTTGAGTCCCATCATGTAATTTATTTTTTGAATGGTTATAATTACTGTACACCAACCATCAACTTTGATTTTTAGGAACGACAAAACCATAGCTTTTCATGAATAGTTGCTTGGATGGTTGATGAATTCAAATCATCATTGATCATTTGCTATTATATAAATGCTAATTTGTTCCATTTTCAATTTGAAACAATGATAATGATGAATAGGAAAGTAATTAAATGCCCTCATTCACCATCATTCAACGTTAATCAACCATTGATTAACCATTGATTAGCCATTGGTTAACCTTTAATTTGTTCTTTGATCATAACCTCCACGCGTAGGCCCACGGAGTGATGGCTGTGCACCTGGCGGCGGCGCAGCAGTCTCCAGAGGCGCTATGAGTAGCCACCAGGATAGGAATTTGGGAGTTGAACGATTTTGAAGAGGGATTAATGTGGTTAATGATAATGGTTATTATTAATGGTTATAAATGGACATTAATGGCTAGTTAATGGTTATTACGATAATGAGTAATGTGGTTAAAACAATACCATTTTTACCACCCATGACTGGGAATGGTTTATTTATACCACCTATAAAAATGGGGATGACTTGGGGATATTTTTTGTTTTACCACATTATAGAATATATAGTCGTCATAATATTATAATGTGAATTTAGTGGGATACCCCTATTAGAACAAATTATTGGGATTTAAACTACACACATGGTAAGCATAATTAGTGGATAAGGCCACATCTTAAAGGTAAACTAATGGGATATGAACTACGGACATGGTGATTCTCATGTTGTTGATGATGGATTAGTGAGGGTTTTGTTGAGATATAGTGTGGGATATAATGGGATATGTGCATATCATATTTGTATATAATGTATATATATATATAAGGAACAATGAGGATATGGGAGACTTGACCAACCGTAAAAAAAAATATGGCAAGTGACCAACAATGCATGGGAAGATATTGGGAAAATAATCCACACATGGGTTTATCTGAAAATGGGAAGTTATGCATCAACCAATGCATTTTTGGCGAACCTGGATAGCTTCGTAAGATTGGTATTTAGTCAGCAAAATAAGAACATTTTACGGGGTGTCAATGGATATCAACCATTGATGTGGGTAAAATATGCTAATATATGCTAATTATTAGCCGCTAATTGGGCCAAATAAGGGTTCCTGAAATTGAGAACCCCACCGACCGGGAACTGGCTGTTTAGGTGCATGTTTAAATCGAACTCCAGCTCAGCTCCTACTTGACTATATTCGACAGTGGTCAATATCAAACCACCAACAGTAGAGACACGCGCAGAGAACCAACATACAGGAACGTGTCAGAACCTATAAAAACATATATAAACTACTACATTATATTACTGTATCATATTTTGGGATGCACATCCATGAATTCCAGCGATTTTACTGCCGATTTTGGTGTGAAAAGCAGCAAATTCCATGGGTGAACTGACCCAATTTGCTGGCAGGTAGTCGAGCTACTCTTGGACGCGAAGGCGGTGTGCTGAACCCTGGTGGATTTGGTGTCTGGAAATGGTGGATTTGGCTCCCAAGCAGCCAATTGAATGGGGAAAATGGTGATAATCCATTCAATTTTGAGGGTAGCGAATTCTTGGAGAAGCCAAGTTCAACTGTTTATCACTCTGGAGGAATATGATCACGCTGTTTTTCTTGTACCGATTATCAAAGGCTAGCTATGGATTTTTCCCAATGGCAAGCCATGATGGTTGGCTCTTCTGCAGCGATGAAAATTGGCACTTCCGCAGCTGCCTCAAGCAGATCAACTGGTGAGGAACAAATCAGGTGTCCGTTGTTATTGGGATGATGTTGAGCATTCCCCATTTGAGAAAGTGAAATTAGATCGCGGTTGAAAGTATAAGTATATATGTCATTATTGTCTATTGTGGAACTCATATCGTTTCCGCTGTTCGATCATTCTTCCCGATTAATTATCCCATTAATCCACCCAAACATAGCTTTAGTCATATATAGTCCACAAAAAATCGTTCAGAATCCATCCCCTAATTTTAAATATCATATAAAATCGTGAAGATTCACTTTTCTATCTGTTTTTGATTTTCTAGAGGTTTCGATACCTTCGCCCACGACATGGACGGATTTTTTTGGGATCCGATGTCAGGCACCTTTGGCAGCCAAAGACCTTAACCAGCAAACTGCCTGGGTGCCTAGGGAGGTGCCTGAAGGCACCTTGCAGTTTTTCACAGGTACCAAACATCTACGGTATATACTGGGAATACACGGGTATGTACATATGCTGTATATATATATATATACACATTATATATATATATATACACATAATTGGTGTAATGTTGATTGTATATTATAGAATATAGTTTTTGGTTTCTGAAGTTTGCCGCTCTGAGTTGTAAAGGGCATCTTTGTTCAGTTTGCATCCCGAGCACATGTGGTTTGATGAACTCATGGTGAATAGATGGTAAGATGTGATGATATGATGGGTCAAAACCTATTACTACCATATCTTGGGAATGAAGATCCATTAACCGGCTTTGACTTTGTGGACCGTTTGGGTACCAGGGTCAATTTATCCAGCTGGTTTTCACCATCCAAACCGAGGTTTTGCACTTTGCAGCACGGACTGGAGTTTCTAGGACCTTGGTATGGGCACCAAGATTGGGCGTACCGGGTTGAATTTCAGATATTTGTTTTTTTGAACGTGATGTGAACCCCCCAAAGCCAGAGTTGGCTCATAGACATGTATTCTAGATTTTTTGCTCAACGATGTTGGGACACATGCATGTAAGGGCAATCACTGACCACTGATGCTGACAGTGAGAGTCCAAATCCTACATGGCTTCAGTTACTTTCCAACTGGTCTGCTAACAGTTACCTCTGAGGCGATCTGAGTCAAATTAAAGCAGCAATGTTTTCCTTGTTTTTAGTCGCAGGTCAAGAGTGTGAGTAAAGACATTATGCTTCGAACGGGGTGCAAAAACAATGATTCATCATAGGGTTCAAAATGCACAACGTCCACCAGATTGCTCATGTCGGTGGTGAACCACTACCCACCATGGGTTCAACCGTCCGCGGTGACGCGGCAGGTGGCTTTGTTGAAACGTTGGCTGGCAGATGAGGCAACTGCCTCTCAAGGCAGGGACACTTCGCGTTTCGGACCGAGGTAAGGCCGGAACGCTAACGCAGGGGTTTATTTAAGCCTCGGTGAAGTAGGCTTAACTATGGGTTAACTATGGTTAACTAACTAATTATGGATGTTTATGGTGATTAAAAGATCTAAAAGATCTATGACATTTCGTGAATTGGATGGGATGATTACAGGGGGCACCACGACTTGCGAATCAGGATTAAAGCAGCACACGACGAAGTCGTCAACTAGTCAATTGATCCGGGGTTGGAAACGTTGGAATTTATGAGTGAAATATTGACATGTTTTTTGTCCAAGAAAGTAGTATATAATAGTGTTTGTCTACCCCTATATTGTTGAAGTTATACTATTGTTGGCTTACACCTCATGATATATGTTGTTTCTTCTTATGAATCCAGCTCCAATTGCGATCCAACAGCCCAAGAGTTCACCTTGCAACGTTCTTTCACGGACATCCCCGGGGATGCTTCCTGGGCCATGGTAAACACCACATTTCCACAGTCAAAATCCCTTATTAGCCTTACCCTCTGGTAAACTAACAAAAAGCTATTGAAAATGGCCATGGAAATAGTGGATTTTCCCATTAAAAATTGTGATTTTCCATAGCTATGTTAAATTACCAGAGGGTATCATATACCAAGAAGAATCAATTATACATCGATATACCGTTGATTACATCGTTAGTCTATAGTTTCATATCTTAATATTTCAACAATAAATCGCCGGTCCATGGAAACAACCATAAATCAGGGAATAACATCTTTAGTTCTACTCATGTCAGGTTTGGATATTCACTTGATTATCATGCTAACCTAGAATTAACCCCTAGTTTATTGATAGGTGGATTCTCCGTTTTGAAAGTAGCTCATCACTTTCGGGGTAACCCCCCCGTATAGATATATAATGATATATATATATATAATGACAAATTATATACTATTTTATACACTATATGCCGCGCAGCACTGCCATGGTCGAAAGTTGGATTAGTTGTTTACCATGTTGGGAGACGGTCCACCATCAACATTCCAGTTAATGATATACCCATCATTGGGCACCTCTATAGTATACCGCTATTCATATTCTATTATTTTGGGTGAATCAAAACTGTAGAACGCATTCGTCAAACAACTGTCTCCTTAAAGCTATAGTACATAGTACACTCGTCTACCCTAGGGTACCAATAAGGTACCTCTACTCAGGGGTATTTAGGGGTGCATCCCGCTTAGTAAATGGAGTATACCCCCAGTTATACATATATATATATATATGGAATATAGACCACGGATCCGCTTCCGATGCGCATCAGGTGCCCGTGTCTACGGTGGCGCACTGGACTGGCGCGACCGCTGGCACCGCACCCCCTTGCACTGGGCGGCACCCTGGCGGCACCTCGGAAAGGTGGGCTTCAACGGTAAAAAAAGATGCGATGGCAGCATGGCTAAAGCCATGGCAGCCATGGTAAGATGTCAAAATGATAACATGGTAAAAGACCATGGTAAATGACCAAATTCAGTCATATGTCATATTGACTCAAGCTCGAATATGAAATTCATACCATCCAGTGCTATGTCATTCGGGATGATCATGTTGGTCACGCGCGGGTATTTAACCTGGTCTCATTTGTGTCTTCGACAGCATTTCGTCCTGTAAAATACAGGAGTTTGTGTTATTGGGGTAAATTCAGCCGTCGCGGCGCGTTTCGTTTTCACTCATTTCAATTTTCCGAGGTGAGACTTCAAGTCTGCAGTGACTGGTAAGTGGTATCGCCAAACAAAGGCATGCATATACAAAATCAATTTTTGATTCAAACCACCTTTGGACCAGTCTTTGTTGTTCAAAGAGGAAGGAATGAAACGGTCAAGCGATTGCCACCATCTGTCCACTGCTTGAGTTCCAGCAATGGTGGCTCCAGGTTTCTTCCAAGTTTTCAACTTTCGAGTGAACTGTTGTTTTCGATGCGTAACTGGAAAATTTTTGATCCTTTTCTCTTTGCACAGGCTCTCCCACGCTTTGGCTCCATCACTATAGAGACGGATTTTTTTGGAATCGCCTAAAAAGGTCATGATCTTGGATTGAACAATTTCAGACTTGGATTCCACAGGTGGACTTGCACCTGGAGGCACTAGCTTGAATGGTAAAACCTTCAAAACAATGTTGCCACCTCGTTTTGCAACCGGCCCCATGTAACTTCTGGCTTTCAAACCAAGTACTCGGAAATGTGCTTGCCAATACTTGGGCAGCGGCTTGAACGGCTTTGCTTTTTGGAAGCGGGTAGCAGCAGCAGCAACTTCTGTTTGAAAGTGAGGGTTGTTTTGGCCGACGTACAGTTTGCGAAGACCATGCGCGTCTGCTTCGATGTCTCCCACCAGGCGTCTTGTTGCATTTTGTGTCCGACAGAGTTGTTCTCCCGCCCTTGCTTCCGCAGCTTGCAAAGCTTCATATATGTGCTCCACTGCACATCTGGCGAGCTTCAGTTGAGATTGGGCATCTGCTACACGGGGAGCTTCCATCAAGCGTGATCTGCTGTAAAAGGTAATCACTCTACACAAGTCAAAGAGGCTCAAGCGTGTGCCGCGAAACAACGAAAAGTCAGTGACATTGTGTCTTTTTTGGCATTTCCAAGAAGTGCACCTGAAATACAATTTCCCTGATGCTTTGAAAGGTTCTGCTTCACCAAGAGCCGCACCACAAGCAAAGCAACCTTTTTCAAATCCACGGATAAAACCAAAGGAAAGCAACTCGTCAAGAGCTGTAGCAACTTGTGCGGAATGAGCATCCACAACAGAACTTGAGGCAAGATGATGTGGAGTTCTCCTTCCACCTGTGTTCTTGACGGTGCCATACGCCTTCTTTGCTTCTTTCCGGTAATGTCCAGACTTGGCCGTTTTTTCCACTGGCAAACGTCCTTTGAAGCGCTTCTGGGGAGCTCCATCAAGAAAGCCTTTCACGGCAGCTCTCAAGTGAATCAGCTCTTTGGCAGCTGGATTCGGACATTGCTTGATATTGTGCCCAACTTTCTTACAGCAAGAGCATTTGTGTGCCGGCTGATGACGCACCGTTTGCTTTCTGTTGAATTTAGTCATACACACGGACTTCCGCAGGCATTCTCTGGCATGGCATGTCTACATTGAAAACATATGGAGATCACTTGTGGCACTGTGCCACAGACGAAAATGGGGGAAAAAAGTGTTCTGAGCCAAAGACTTGGTGGATGATCGATCTGAGTCGGCACCTCTGCACATCTCACGCAATGTTACAAACTCATCACTGCCATTGATCATTTGATCTATTAATTCGAGTGCGACTCAGGACTTACGTCCGTTTCAAGTCTTGACAGCATGTGTATATATATATATATATATCTTGGAACGTATCTATAGATGGTTTCACACAGACACATCAAACATTATATTTCTTTTCTCTTTTGTACATATAGACATAAATTAAAGATATATATATATATAATATATTTTCTTTATTGACTTATATTCGTTTAAGACAAATATATACATGATAAATCACGTTCTGAGCAATCGTCATGGCTGAGGCAGCAAGTCTGGAATGCGTTTCTTTTGCAACGCAAAAGAGTGGAAGTCAGAAGGTTAAGCACGTGTTTGTGGACCGTGCTGCAATTGAAATTTCAAAGTTTTTTTCATTTCCTTTTGCTGCCTGATCAAACTGGGCGGTCGCTGACCCAAAAAAATTTTCCCGTGCCAGCAAAGGGGTTTGCTGTCCCGATTTCGCAGCCAAAAATTGCTGCAGCGTAGCCAAATCTCTCCAGCATGTCGACCTGTTTTGATTAGATGCAATTTTCTTGGCGTTCCACAGGAGGTGCACATGCCGTATTTCGAAGGACGAGTTTTCAGGGTCAAAAATCTAAACGGACCTAATGGCCTGCCACTTCTGCGAGACTCTTCCTGATTTCCAGCAACGTCTGAAGAAGGCACGGACCGCACAGCGGGAACAGAAGACGACGACGCAGCGGAATGTTCGTTTTGGGCCGGCCAAAAAGTCTCAGATCCATGTCTGCACATCTGTCGCAAATTCACAAACTCTTCTTCTCGGTCGAGAAGCAGTAGAGCCCACATGGGGATATCAGCACTCAAGCCATCATCGCATCCAGCTAAACGATCTTGCAGGTCCTCAAAATCTGACATAATCTACTTCGCAGACGGTTGACCCCGATAGAATGAAAGAACGGGAAAACGTAGAAAAGAAGACAATGTGGCAATGAAAGAAATCAAACAAAGACAAGACTCCTGCCGATATAGGTCTCGAAACATCTGCAATTCGACCACAGAAGTCGGATAGAGATCCATCTTGGCCACCAAGTGAGGCGGTGACTCTGAACCATTGATGTCTGACAAAGGCTCTTCCTCGGAGTAGACCTCCGCTGCAGACGCCAGCGACTCAGTCTCCATGACATGCGCTCCACACTCCCCGCTGACAGAAACATCCGAACCATCCTCAGCGGGCATGACATCTGGTCTTGCCCGCGGTATCTCTGTGACCACCTCCTCGTCAGAAGATATCACGTCAGCACGTTGGTCACGCGTCAAAAAGACACTGTGAGCTTCGGCGTCGTAGATTTCTGCCGAGAATTCATGCCTCAGATGCACAGCATGTCATGTCAAAGCAGAACCAAAATCTACGAGGAGGAAAAGAAAATACATTGGAACAGAACAAGTTGGAAAATCGAGCTACCACTGTTGCACAGCAATTGCATGCGTCGCATCAGCAGAACATGAGTTGCCTTCTCGAGCAACCAGGCATTTCAATTTCCTTTCTACGACCAAGTCTGAAGTCCGCCTACCACGCAGATACCGACGCCACTGATCTTGCAAAAGTGGCAAACAACGACATAAGGTATGGAAATCGTGAAGCCGGAGGAGCGATTCTTGCACTGCATGCAGACCAGGGTCATAGCTAACTGAAACATCACAAAGCGAAGACGGAGCCGTCAAAATCTCATGCAAGTCATCTAAATAGTTATCATGGAACTGAAGCCATTGGCCCAACAGCGGCGGTAAGCTGCTTCCAGTCAATCGCAGGACAATCAGCAGCACAAGTGCTTGCAAGGTTTCTTCCATTTGAACCACTGCTGCAACACACTGAACTTGCACTGAAGATCATATGATGCAAAGATCACTTCTAGACATATACTATATAGAAAAAAACAGTTTGGAAGGTAAAATTAGGTGAGTTCCATACATAGTTATGCCCATATATACATACAACTCATAGACGTAAGTCCCCAACTACAACTAGAACCGCAAAAACAAACTAGCATTCGACAAGTCCCCGGAATCCGCAGGGCAATCTGGGCGACCATACCTGCGAGACGGGGCGGATGCGTGTACGATGTATATCGGTGTAACGGTACGATACATACGAAAAAAAAGGTAGGGCGTCGAATATATTCGTTTCAAGATACATATGGTCACTATGTTGAGAAGAAATCGAAAAAGTCGCAGCGTACAACATACATGCTGTTAGTGGCATATGGTAAGTATGGAAGATAACAACACATTCTCTTGCAAGGCTTCATATATGTGCTCCTTATCATCCCACCCCACCCCATTCCACCCCACCCCACCCCACCCAAGACGTAGCATGACCTAGCCAAGTTGGTAGCACCAGGACATGACGACAACGTAACACGACGTTATCATCCCACCCCACCCCACCCCACCCCACCCAAGACGTAGCATGACCTAGCCAAGTTGGTAGCACCAGGACATGACGACAACGTAACACGACGTTATCATCCCACCCCACCCCACCCCACCCACGACTAAAATACCCAAAAAACGTCCAAAACTACCAGGTTATTTATCAGCACGCCTCCATGTTTAACAGAGGGGGATTCGCCAAATCATCAAGATGATTTCTGTGGGGAAAAGGAAAGCAACGAGTTGAAGCCACCTTTCCCCACAACTGGCGCCCCCATCACGTAAGTTGTTGGGTCACTGTGTGGTGGTCCAATTTCTGAGGCTATCCAGTTTGAGAATGAAATACAGTACTGGCTGGTGGTTTGGGACATGAATTTTATGACTTTCCATATACTGGGAATGTCATCATCCCAACTGACGAACTCATATTTTTTCCGAGGGGTTGAAACCACCAACCAGAACCATGTTGAACCACGTTCTTCAAGTCACAAAGACTTTGTACCTGACACTCAGTCCTCTCACATTTGGTGGTCGATTCTGGCCTGAAACTGTCTACATCATATCGCTGTTTCTTTGTAACTGCATCCCCAAGCCTCGCCAACTTGCAGGGTTGTCATGTTCTTTCATATGGTTTTGAATCTTCAATTCACGAAATTCGTTCGTGTTCTTTATTCCTACTAAGAACTTGTGTATGTCCTTATAACTGTGCTTAATCATTCTTAATCGCCGCTTAGATTTCTGCCAATTGATACGATGCGTATTCTGCACGGTTCACATGAATCCTAAGTCCTCACCCACAATGTCAACCTCATTAAAGCCTGAATATTGGGGTACCCCGAAAGTGATGAGCTACTTTCAAAACGGAGAATCCACCTATCAACAAGGGGTTAATTCTATGTTAGCATGATAATCAAGTGAATATCTAAACCTGACATGAGTAGAAACTAAAGATGTTATTCCCTGATTTATGGTTCTTTCCATGGACCACTGATTTATTGCTCGCATGTTTGCTGCTTTTCTTTATTCCCCCTTGGATCCATAGTTTGCCTCAATCAAAAAGTAGACTCAATGGATTGGTTTAAGGGAAAATCGGAACCGGAAACCATCGATTTTCCCATGACATGTAGGGGTTTCCTGAAACATTTCCCTTAAACCAGTCCAGTGATAGAGGACCTACTGTCTCATACCCAACCATCATTTAGTAATGATACCATTTCATTCCATAATTCTGATGCAAACATCCCATGTGACCCAACCGTTAGCCGTTAACCAACCATCAGTTATTAAGTATATATCATATCATATATATATATTTATCCCCATTGTTGGTGGCGAAAAAACATGTTGAATAGTTTGATCCCTCTAATTGGATAATCAACTGTTTTGTATAATATATTCTCGTTGGTGGTTTCAAACATTTGGATGGTGAGGCGTTCGCTTGTGCCGCTTTTTTTTGCGTCGCTTGTGCCGCTTTTTTTTGTGTCGCTTGTGCCGCTTTTTTTTTGGTATCGGCATTTTTCCTGTAAATTATCGTGTAAAATAGTGTTTTGACGTGTTGTTCTTTTGACGTCGCTTGTGCCGCTTTTTTCTTGGGGTCGGGTTTTGACCTGTAAATTTGCGTACAAAGTGGCGCTTTTGCGCGTGTTGTTTTTGATGTCGTTTGTGCGGCTTTGTAGTGGTATCGGTATTTTACCTGTAAATTTCCGTATAAAAGTGGCGCTTGTGTGCTTGCACGTCGACTGTGTTGCTCTCCCTCTGCGCGATCCTTATGAACATGAACCTTATTAACTCACCCCACCCCACCGGTAACTGATCATGAAAGAGCTGTGCCTGTCTCTTCCAAACAGCAAGAAAGATGATGAGGTTGCTGTGCCTGTGTGTGCATACTTTATTGGCAGTTCGTACTTGCGGAAGTTATAAGTAAGTTGTGGTAGTTATAGCAGTTGTAGCACATATAAGTAAACTTATCGAAGTTATGGAAGTTATGTTTTCCTTGAAAACAACTATGTTCCATAACTTCGATAAGTTTAAATAAGTTGTTATAACTTCTATAAGTTTTTAGGTTTTCAAAATTTTGGTGTTTAACATTTTTCATTGTTTTGCATCAAGGTTCGCGTGTTTGGAAGCTTTGCGGTCCAGAGGACCGCATCTTTGCGACCCAGAGGACCGCAACCACGCGGTCCAGAGGACCGCGCTGTAGCCAGGCATTGCTTTCAAAGAACATATGACGCTAACTGTGGCAACGAGGTGACGTATGTAATCTTGTAGAGTTTGCTATAGTTTTTTATGTATCTTTTTGTATCTTTATGTATCTTTACGTATCTTTATGTATCTTTATGTATCTTTTTGTTTCTGACGTATCTTTACGTATCTTTATGTATCTTTCAAAACCGTTCCGGAAGATACGTACGTATCTTTACGTATCTTTATGTATCTTTCAAAACCGTTCCGGAAGATACGTACGTATCTTTACGTATCTTTATGTATCTTTATGTATCTTTTCAACCGGTTTCGAAAGATACATAAAGATACATAAAGATACCTAAAGATACATTAAGATACATTAAGATGCATGGATGATGAAACATGAGCTATTATTGAATTGAAAAATCTAGGCTAGCAGCATGTGACACACTTTCCTGCGGAAAATCGTTTCCGCAATGCTTTGCGCCACCAAAATGAAACAACAAATGCAAACAGAAGCTGCGCATCAGATCCAGTGAGCAACGCGAAGATATTGATTTTTCACGTGCTATATCGAAAATTTGACAGAAAAAACAAAGAAAAAGGGTATAATCTTCAAGTTTAGGATTTTTGCAGCAAAAAAAATAAGTTTTCATAACTTATATAAGTTTTCAGGTTTTGCATTTTTTGGTAAAAGGAAAAAACCAGCTGAGAACTTATTTTAGTTATAACTACTTATAAGTTGTTATATCTACAGTATCTATCCTTTAACTTACCCTAACTTCATGCTTCCCGTAAGTATACTTATCGAAGTTGTAGTTAGTACAACCATAGTACAACATACTTATAAGCAACTTATAAACAACTTAAAGTTCAGCAAGTACGAACCGCCAACAAAGTAGGAACATGAACGTTATCATCCAACCCCAACCCCACCCCACCCACCCCCACCCCCCCCCACCACCACGGGTAACTGATCATGAAAGAGCAGTGCGTGTAAGTGCTCTACAGCAAGAAAGATGATGAGGTTGCTGTGCGTGTGCAGGCATAGGAACATGAACCTTATTAACTCACCCCACCCCACCGGTAACTGATCATGAAAGAGCTGTGCCTGTCTCTGCTCAACAGCAAGAAAGCTGATGAGGTTGCTGTGCTGTGTGTGCATAGGAACATGAACGTTATCATCCCCCCCCACCCCCCCCACCACCCCCCACCCTGAGGGTAACTGATCATGAAAGAGCAGTGCGTGTAAGTGCTCTACAGCAAGAAAGATGATGAGGTTGCTGTGCGTGTGCAGGCATAGGAACATGAACCTTATTAACTCACCCCACCCCACCGGTAACTGATCATGAAAGAGCTGTGCCTGTCTCTGCTCAACAGCAAGAAAGCTGATGAGGTTGCTGTGCCTGTGTGTGCATAGGAACATGAACGTTATCATCCCCCCCCACCCCCCCACCCTCCCCACCCTGAGGGTAACTGATCATGAAAGAGCAGTGCGTGTAAGTGCTCTACAGCAAGAAAGATGATGAGGTTGCTGTGCGTGTGCAGGCATAGGAACATGAACCTTATTAACTCACCCCACCCCACCGGGAACTGATCATGAAAGAGCTGTGCCTGTCTCTTCTCAACAGCAAGAAAGATGATGAGGTTGCTGTGCCTGTGTGTGCATAGGAACATGAACGTTATCATCCCACCCCACCCCACCCCACTGGAACATGAAAGAGAGAGGCTTATCTTGCTCTGAGGCTCGTTTTTTGCATTTCGTGGAAGCGCAATTTCGTGGAAATTTACAGGTAATCAGAGGTTTTTCGGCGCAAGTGATGTCGAAAATGTGTGGGGGTAATTTTCGGCGTAAGTGACCTTAAAAATTTCGGCGTAAGTGAACGTGGGACCCATTTGGATTATTTTCCATTTCATATATGAGTTGTCATCCTTCCCATTGACTTTCATATTTTTCAAGACGGTTGAAACCACCAATCAGTATGTCTCAATAATCCACAAGCAGTTGGATCTGTTCGGCTCAACTCCATCGGATCTCTGAGACTCTCCCAGGTGCTGAATGGACATCTCGAAAGTTGCAAGGAGTGGGGAGCCGGGAAGACCTTGGAGTAGCTGCTGTGAAATTGGTTCTAGAAACCTACCAGCCGCAAAGATAGACGTAAAAAGACATGATGATCTAATGACAACACCTGCATCATGTGGGTTAATATAGTTCATGTCATAAATCTAACAATGACATGAACATGACAGGACGTGATGGGATATGGTCGGTGGTTTCAACGATCTACAGTTTTGCCACAGCCCCAAAGCAAGGAAGCATTGGGGCACCAAGTCACTGATACCATGAATTTGGGTTGGTTTGAAAGTAAGTCCCTATCTAAATGGATCTAAATAGGCATTTGGGGGTTATACCCCACTTTCAGACATACCAGCTCTATCAATTTATAACACTTTGGTATACTTTGGTCATGTTGTGCCTCCCTTGTAAAGGAACCGCGGCCTCTATGACCCTGGATCTAGTGTGACCCCAAACCCATCCGATATTAGTAATGTTTAAGAGTGAAAGCAATTATTTTGGGGTACGGCAGTTTTTCGAAACTATCATACAGTCATCCGTGGTTGGTCAACACTTGGGTTATTTTACCATAGGGGATGGTCATCCCTTCAGGGGCTATACCACATTTTTCAGTACAAAGAATCCCTAATGACCAAGAACCCCCATATAGTAGTAGTTGGATGTTGTTGGTTAGATATCCCATCATATCCCATGCCCCACTATATCCCCATGATATCCCCAAACTACCAATAAATCCATAACCATATCCATCCATATACCATGTTGGGAGATGTTTGGAGCGTCGCCCATCTCCCATCAGATCTCTCAACTCAACACCGCAGGCCTTGCTGGAGGCACGAGCCAATGCGGATCCGACGAAGGCGTCCTTGCGGCACGAACGCGAGATCTTTGAGGAAGATAGGAGGTACCCTCCGGTAACATACGTAGCTATTGAACATGGTCCATAGTAATAATAGTTGATTTACCTATCAAAAGAGGTGATCCTCCTGCCCAATATTTTTCTATGTTGACCAGAGGGTATACGCCCCTATTTTAAGTGTAACTGAAATCTTACATAATCTTACATATTTACCATCTGGTTATTTAACATAACCATGGAAAGATCCACCATTTTTAAGTTCGGTAAACCATCTATAAATATTATAAATGGGCCATCTATACCATGGCTATGTTAGTCATAACCAGAGGGTAGGTATTGTGGCTTATGGTCATGGTAGTCGGTAGTCATCAAAAAGATATTATATTCCATAAGGCTCCCAGCGCAGGTGCGTGCCTATCGCCATGAGAGGAGTACCTCGCTAAGGTCCGGGGGATTCCGTGCGTGCTGCGTGCGTGCGAAAAAAGTGGGCTTAGGATTCCTTTTTTTGAATCATCCTCATCACACTCCCATTTTTTGATTCAAAAATGGGAATAATAATGCCTCTAGTAAACGAGGCTTGGAAAATTCGGACATTCCTGCCCCCCACGGGAAGAATACTCATTGATACTGATTGATGGGGTCATTGTCCAGTGCCGGATTTCTTCAAAGATGTTGAGAGATGCAATCACTGGGTGATTTCACGGAACTCACGGGGAGAATTCGTGGCACATCACACAGTTGCAAACCAGTCATGTAACAAATTGACATGGAAGATTCACGATGTATAGATGGTATTCTACGATATGCTAGGGGACACGGGGAAACCATGATTTTTCTGGATCCATGATGGTTTTCTGGAGGTGACATGACACATCCTGGTGGGTGATGTATACTCAACCATAGTGGGTACACAATGGGTTCAACCCAGGATCCGCAACAGCTTGGTCGAATTGGTCGAGGTTTTTTTGACCTAAAATGCCCTAGAGGGAGGCAATCTAACTGTGAGATGGTGTCTTGACGACTTCATTCTTCGGTCGGGTTTCTTCAGCTAGGCATGAGAGCCCCTTGGAGATTGCGCAGCGCATGAACTCCACCGAAATGGTGCCAACCTTGGGACCTATGTTGGATGGGCATCCGGTCATGTGAGAAAATCCATCGATTACAACAACATGTTTCTTAAGTACACCTAAACCATCCTAAACCTTCTGAGTTTCCTATAATATGCATGTCGTTTTTCGGTTATAGAATCATATACATATATATATGTATAGTTATATATATATTACAATCATTATTATGATTAATCATATGCGTGAGATAGCTAGTGCCTCCAAATCATACCAAACAAACACTTAGATAAAAAACATCTCCCAAATTGTGTCTGTTTTTCCCCACCTGTCAGGTGAGGGTTGTTAGATTTTATCACAGTTGTTCTCCTCCTCTTCCTCCTCGGCTAGCTCTCCTCCTCCTCCTCCTCCGCCTCCTCCTCTTCCTCCTCCTCCAGTTTCTCCTCGACCATGTCTGCATCAACTTCCACCTTCACTTCCGCCTTGCTAACTCTTCGCCAAGCTCTTCGCCAACTTCCGAGCTCAGTGGGCACCGCTGGACCTCAACCTGGGACCTGCCCAGCTCAGTGTGCACCGCTGGACCTCGACCTGGGACCTTCCCAGCTCAGTGTGCACCGCTGGACCTCAACCTGGGACCTGCCCAGCTTAGTGTGCACCGCTGGACCTCAACCTGGGACCTTCCCAGCTCAGTGTGCACCGCTGGACCTCAACGTGGGACCTGCCCAGCTCAGCGTGCACCGCTGGACCTCAACGGCCAGATAGAATGCCAGAAGATATGCCAGATAGAATGTCAGATAGAATGCCAGAAGATATACCAGATAAAATGCCAGAAGATATGCCAGATAGAATGCCAGAAGATATGCCAGATAGAATGCCAGAAGATATGCCAGGTAGAATGCCAGAAGATATGCCAGGTAGAATGCCAGAAGATATGCCAGATAGAATACCAGAAGATATGTCAGATAGAATGCCAGAAGATTTGCCAGTAACAAAACGTATAAACGTCATGGTGGGGATCACACGAAGTAAAGTATTTTTTGCATCTTTTTTTTCCACCAAGTAGTCGGCCGAACTTCTGAGATAGAAAACACTTGATTGCTGCGGAGTTAACAAATGGAAGGCAAATTGCACCAACTTGGACCTTCTAAGATGCCCAATGGCTCAGAATTTTTGATGGTTAGATATGTGTGCCAGAATGTCCTAAAATTGTGCCGGAAAAAACGGAAGAAAGCAGAAGTACGTAGTACGTATTATATACGTGTTTGCTTCTTGCTTTCATCATTGCGAGAGCAAAATTCAAGGATGTTGAGAACGGTTTCAAATTTGTGTCCTTCCCACTCATTGCCTTTTTGCCTTCATAGAGTCATAGAGCTTCAGGATGAAACCAAACAACATTTGTTTGATATTGTTTGATCTTGTTTGAAGGGCATGTTCCATGTTCCTTTTTTCCGCGCGTGCTGCCTTTCTTCCGGACAAAATTCCGCTGTACCTTTTTGCATCCTTTTACTTTGCGACATTGGGGTTCGAGGGATGTCCTCAGCTCAGTTCATCCCAGTTGATGATCCATTCTGCATATTTCTGGGATGCTCAAGTGTGGTTGTGGGTCAAAACCAAGTCCCACAACTAAACATCACAAAGATGAAAGAATGGTCTTGTTTGGCACACCTCCCACCAATCCCGCCGACCGTTTTGGTGGATAACTGGGTTGAACATATACCCATGACCCATGAATACAGCAGATCTGTATGTGGTCAACCATGTTTCTATCCCAGCGATTGGATAGCCCCAGTTTGCAGGGTCAACCACTTACAGACTCTGATGCATCTAAGTGCCATTGGTTAAACGGTTAAACCTGAGCAGAACTGCAAACCTAAGTAGGCAACTTGAGGACGGAAACATTATGTGAAAATATGAACGACACACACACACAATCCGATTTGCACTGAAAAGATGCTGAAAGTGGTAGCTTCCAATTTCATGATCTGTGTTATTTATGACAAACCCAGCAAAATCACCCTAAAACATTGGAACCAACCATAACCAAGCACTGGGGAAACCCCCAGACCGTCAAGTGGATCACTTGTGGGTGCAAGATCCGCATCTACAACACTGCTTTGCTTCCATCAAAACCCGTCCTTGGGATCCCCAGCCGGGTCTATGTCAAAAAAGGATTTGCCATGCCAGGTTCAGATCATCTGCCAGGGTCAGATCATCAATGTATGGTATAATTAATGTCATCAATGTATGGTATAATGTCTGGTTTTGATGTAGGAAAGCAAAATTCTCCCGGCATCAACAAAGCCTTTCCCTAACTTGGGAATGGTGTTAATCCCCCATCAAAACTGGTGCTGACTTGGGATAATTGACCCATTGAAAAACCAGGTGGCTCTTCTCCTCCAGCACGGCGCTGCCGGTTGAAGGTGCCAAAGGTGCCATCCCGGTGTCCATCCCGTGATGCCGGAAGATGATGCCATCCCGGAGTTCTTCACCTAAGACTGGGGAAAGTATACGGTACAATAATTGGTACTGGGGTGAACTATCCAGCTAACTTACTAAGATATACATATATACTAAGATACTAATTACTTGATAGTTCACCCCAGTAAGTTCGCTGGATTAATGACTAATCCTACTGACCCTACTTTTTATTGGTGAGAAGCCACTGGGGTGAACCACCAAGTAGCTCGTTCTATCTTTGTGATGATCCTGCAGCCAGGGGCACAGCTGGTCATCCTTAGGATCTTTTGTGGGTTATGACCCTTAATCATATTATGCATCTTATGAAGTATTGCACTATGAAAATGGATGGTATGACTTGAGCAGCAACATTATGTTATGCTGTTTTTCTGGTTAGAGACGGGGTGTGATGGTCTTCATGTTTATTTCCAGTGCAATTCTCAGCACCCATTCCTTTTTGTCAAATTTCCATTATGTTCTCAGTTTTCCAACGGCTTGGCTATGTTTGAAATTCTTGGTGGAAGGGCCATGACTTCGCTCAAGTTTGCACATCCTAAAAAGTGAGGGAACACGAATACCTTGAATAGCAATGTAATCCTGTGGCTTGAGATAAATAATTGATGTGTGTGTGTGTAACATCTTAATAGATGTAAAACTTTCTCTTCCTTTTCTTCCTTCTGTCCTCTCCCTTTTTAATAACGCAGGGGGATGAGGGTCCCTTGGTGTTCCTCATCTAAGAAAAAGACCGCACCAAGTGGACGTGATATCAGTGCCCGGTCAGCACTGACGTACCTGCACCTTTATTTTCTTTACGCTGTTGGTTTATATGTCAAAGACTCCTGTGATTTTTACTGACGTGCTCTTTATACTCTTAATGCTGTTGGTTTATATGTCAATGACTCCTGTGGTTTATACTGACGTGGCAAGGGGCTAAGCCAAGAACCCCAATAAACAATCTAATAAACAATCTAATAAGCAATCTAATTGCATGTTTCAGGACTCAGTTCCTGACGGATCTATTCAAAGATCCATTCTTGTCTAGTGTAATACCTATGGTGGCTCCAACAAGGTGCCATAGGGCCACTGGAGGCAACCCTGTTTAGGGTGACTGTCGACTGTCCTGACCATCGAATTTACACACTTTAATTTGGTAATTCATCTGGGTAAAGCGAAACAGTCAGCCTTTCTGTTGTGCACCATTTTCGGGAAGTCCTGCCATTCCTGCGGTCCCTTGAAAACCCTGGTGAAATGTTCTCTTCTCTGAGTGAAGCCAATCGGAACAACCAGAAACTCCTTTTTTGTCACTGCTGCTTCTATACTTTTATTGCTATTGGTTAATATGTCAATGACTCCTGTGATTTATACTGACGTGGCAAGGGGCTAAGCCAAGAACCCCAACAGAAGGCAACTGGCACATGCTTTCCAGGTGTGGTTTTTTCTCTTTTGATGGTTTTCTGGTGAGGTCCAACATATTGTGCACCAAATTCGATGGAACTCGTATAGCCGTTAAAAGCCCTTGTGGCTGACCTGACTACCGTCCCGGCAAGGGAGTAACGCACGACCTCTAGGTGTAGGAGCTGAGTCCTGTTTTAGATTAATTGTTTTGGTTTCTCTCGCTTGCCATTAACTAGTCCCCCATTTGGTCCCTAATTCTCCCTTCGTGCCTCTCCGTAATGCGTCGTGGGGTTTAGGTTTGTGCTCTGTTTTGGTCAGGTCCGTTTCGCCGCGTAGGTTGGTTCTGGAGGTCCGTTCGTTCCCCTTCCCCCCCCTGCGCTGTTTTGGCCTTTTGCCCGTCGTCTGTGTCCGCTTTTTTCCTTTCTCTTGCCTTTCAGGGTTGACCCGGCTCCGGCCGGGTGTGTGTGTAACATCTTAATAGATGTAAAACTGTCTCTTCCTTTTCTTCCTTCTGTCCTCTCCCTTTTTAATAACGCAGGGGGATGAGGGTCCCTTGGTGTGCCTCGTCTAACAAAGACCGCACCAAGTGGACGTGATATCAGTGCCCGGCCAGCACTGACGTACCTGCACCTTTATATTCTTTACGCTGTTGGTTTATATGTCAAAGACTCCTGTGATTTTTACTGACGTGCTCTTTATACTCTTAATGCTGTTGGTTTATATGTCAATGACTCCTGTGGTTTATACTGACGTGGCAAGGGGCTAAGCCAAGAACCCCAATAAACAATCTAATAAACAATCTAATAAGCAATCTAATTGCATGTTTCAGGACTCAGTTCCTGACGGATCTATTCAAAGATCCATTCTTGTCTAGCGTGTGTGTGTGTGTGCTTGCATGCCAAATAATCCACTCTTCTTCGCCTTCCTAACATCAATGCCCCCAAAAATGATTCAAAATGATCCAAACTGAAAATTCAATACATTAAACGGTGGTTTCAGAAGGTACTTAATATGAGGGGGACGGGCTTCCAGGGTCTTTGGCTTTTTCAGCAGGTGAATTTGCCGATCTATCTGACCCACCACCTGTGCGGTCACAGTCAGCAGCTTGAGATGTGAAGAACTGCCTTGGTTCACCCTGTTCTGATGGCTACAGGATACTACTGTGGATGGGCCAGCGAAAGCCTGCACCACCAAAAGGATGGGAGCAAAACCCTAGGCCCTATAAATAATGGGATAAACCATCTATCAGCTGGTGATCTGGATTTCGCAACCATCCACAGTAGAACCAACAGCAATGGTCATGATTATCACCCACCATTCAATGGGGATTACACTGATTAAACATGATGAAACTCATCAATAACCGACCCTTCTTTGTCTTCTTTGATCAACATAAACATGGTTGTTTTGTACCTACCAATATGCTTACTTTTGTGATCTTTTGGTGAGATCGTTGGGAGTAATTACCAGCCTCGTTGCAGCTGGTGAACAGGTTGGGTTTATGTGTTCATTAGATTGTTTGATCTCCAAGCAACAGGCTTCACTTGTTCAATTTTGAATGTTTCAACATGTTTAAACAGTGATCTTCTTCTTGGACGTTGCCTTTGTTTTTGTGGCGAACAACTTGGGACATGCAGCTACCTGAATGTAACAACTACAACATCTGTCAGCAGTCTTTCAAACCAAATGAATGTTAACATGTAATCTACCTTTGATTTGTCGTCTGTAGAGTATTCTGCAAACGAGGTGCATTCTTTAATATCAGAGGCTCGCCAAACAACAGTATTCCCAGGTTCTTGAAGTATAGTTCTTGCTGATCCTTTCAGCATTTTATCGAGTGGTTTGTAAGCCAACAATTGACCCTGGAAGATGGGATATGATGGGATATAGTTTATGGTTGTTGATGGCAAATACAGGGTTAATTTGGATATAAAGTTGACCTGGGTACATGGAATATAGGTTGATATAGTTTATGGCACAGGCAAATATGGTCTTGGGACCTAACTGCTTGGTTTTCCTGGGGTTTTCCCAGGTCCTCCTTGGTGACTCCGCCACCTTGTTCTCCAAGGCTCACGTCTGGCATGGGGAAAGGTGTGGGTCACGATGCCACCAATTTTTCAGGGAAACTGACTCACATGAGTATCATGAGGCTGTCTTCACAAACAGGGTATATACATGCATATACTGTATACCAAACAATCGCATCATTTCAATGCAGAAAATGACAATTGGCAAGACAGGCAGTGAACGGAATTTTGTGCTACCCCACTTTGGACAAATCCAATTAGATGTTAGATTGATCAGCCAAGTTTGAGGTATTTGGTTGAGGGCTGACTCGACCATTTTGGGCCTGGTTGGCTGCCCCCATGAAACTCGCATTGCAGCGCCACATGACAGTGCATCTCCATTTAGTTGGCCTGGGAAGACTTTTGCAGAAGGGCCTTTTATAAGGGAATTCATATAATATAATAATAATATTAATATATATATATGCATATATATAGTATAATATCATCGCAAATCCTTTAATACTGTAAAAACTCCTGCAGTAAAACCATGTATTGTATTTATCATCGATCTGCCCGATAGCGTTGGTTCAAAACAGAGCTAGCAGCTTAGCGGTTACTTGCCCCATTGTTATTGTAACATATTGGTGGCTGACCTTGTAAAATACAGGTTATCAGCCGTAGTCTCACTACTTTGCTATGGGGACCCCAATTGACCACCCTCTCGCCGTTCCAGGGTCAGGTCCATCGGCTGTCGCTGTGCCTAATATGGCCGGGGGCAACCCCGAGCCGATGGATGACGAAACAATGTTCCAACCCGTTGTTGCGTACTTTACCTTCATACAAAACAACCTGTCCCAGATTACTAGTGGGAATACCCTGCAAGTCATGAGGGAAGCTGAACAGAGGCACCTTCAGATAATGCATGGAGTAGTTGACTCAATTCGAAACGAATGGTCAAGTAGACTCGTAATGCAGGAGCAGGAGTATGAGCAAAGGCTGCAGGAGGTTGAAGGTAATGCCATTAGTGCCCTCAACGAGGAGAGGAAACGAGGCGACGAGATGGAGGTCAGGTTGAATCAGGCTCAGGCATCGCATGACAAAAGAATAGAGGATGTGAAGGCAGAGGCAAACACAAAGCATGATCAGAAAATTGCAGAGGAAAGGAAACGTATCACTAGTGAATTCGAAGCTTCCTACGCACAGACAGTTGAACATGCAAAGAATGCCATAGCTGCCACAAAGAAGCAATATGAAGATCAGGCTGCAATTGATCAGGCCAGGTTCATCAGTTTGAGGACTGAGTTTGAGAACTACAAGAAGGAGATGGCCGACAAGATCAACGAGGCAGCGGCTCAGAACCTTAGCCTTCAGGACCAAATCGATGATCTTCAGGAGCAGTTAAAGCATGTTGCCAAAGCGCAGCATGCCTCCGTTCCGAAAGCATCCGTCCAGAACGCCGAGCCGGCCGCTACCACTAGCGTGCCCCACTTCAATATTGCCACTCCCAAAGCATCCGATGCACAGGCTGCCAGAGGCAGTGATGAGCCGATTCTTGAG